TTTTCCTCCCCAAAGCCCCAGTACATAGTTGTATATCCTAGTTGTAGGTCATTCTAGTTCTTCTATGTGGGATGCTACCACAACATGGCTTGATGAGCAGTGTGTAGCTTCACACCTAGGATCAAAACCAGCAAAGCCCTGGCCACTGAAGCCAAGCACATGAACTTAACCACTTGGCCACAGGGCAAGGCTGGACAAATGCATATTTTCAAAAGCAGTTCTGTGTGCATATTTATAAGGCAAAGTATTGTAATAACTAGATAGTGACTCCCAGAAGATATTGCATCCAGAAAAAATTGCTCGGGACATGTGGATAGCCAGGGACAGTCACAAGGAGACAGAATTTCATTGGTGAGTGTCTGATGCTGGGTGGATGCTGGATGACTTCCAAGGTCCCATTTGGCTCTAGGACCTATGATTCTATTACCTGGGACACACGTGATCAGGAATAGGCATTACGAAGTCATATTCCATAAGGGGTGCTTCTTACCCATTCTGCCCATGCTGGCCAACAGGGTCCTTACCATCACTGTGTCCAGGCTTCTATTTGTTTAATAGTATCTAAAGGGGATTGTTTTTCTCTTGTCTTTTCAAAGATAATAAAACAATTGAGAATATGGAATAAGATCTGCATGGATTATCAAAAAATTAACTATGTATAGCATATAATTCTGTGTATAATAAACCACATATAATATACAATACGGCTCTGGTATTAAATTAGATCCCTCATCACTAAGGAACTGGTGACACTTTAGGATGAATATGCCACAGTTCCCCATTTCTGTGCCAGCAAAGACATTGCTGGCCGGTCATGTAAGCCACACTGGGTTTCAGACTCCTTCTCCCCTCAGTGTTCTAGGCAGGTGCTACCAACCCATGGCCACTTGGATGTGGAAAGTAGGGTGGGGATCCCGATCCCCACCAGGTCTGCTTTTGTTATCCCAGTTCTTTGTCATCCACTGATCTTCTTTATGTCCTACAAGTCTTCAATTTACCAAAAAAAAAAATCTCATCCTTATCATTAGGGCTTGTATACCAAATGTAGAGAAGTCTCAGTCTCTATATGCAAGTTGCTCTGGGCTGCTGATTAAGGACAGCATCTTCACCAATGTCATCCTAAGGAAGAGTGCTTCCCTCTAAAGCTTACTTTTTGAAAAGCTGTGGCTGGACCTGCAACCAGAAAAGGATGTTCTTCCCCTCATCTATTGATCTCTGCTTCTCTCTGAGCTGTGACATGTTTCAGAATGGAGGGATTTGCTTTTGGTAAGAATAGAAGGAATTATAGATTAAGAGTGATTTGAAAAATGGTCTCATTCTGCCCAGAATGAGAGTCCTATGGTCCTTCTCATCATTCACTAATAAGCAACCCTCTGGCTGGAGCTGCCTGAGGTGTAACTCTGAAACATTTTTGCCTTTTCTAGTGTGTTCCATGCCTCCAGCTTCTCCCAGTAATTCAAAGTGACCTGTCAAGTAGGTTTGGTGCCACGTGGCATTTACTTTCTGGCAAGGCCACTGCTTCTATTTGCATGGTCAACTAACTAGTCCCCATGAGGCCATCCTCTGACTGGATTTATCACTGAGCAATTGACTAGTTATACCAACCAGTATTTATTGAGCAGCTCCTATTTGCCAGACCCACTCTGCAGGTTGGGTTCCCTGCGGAGCAGACTCCGAGTTGGAGTTTAGCAAGCAGAAGTTTATTAGAGAGTGCTGTTGGGTTTAACACTTGGAAAAGGGAAGGGAAGGATGCAGGAGTAGGCAGAGGGAGTAGTTGGGCTGCAAAGTAGCCACCAGGGCTCAGCTGATCCCGTGAGGAGTTCTAAAGCTGGGATGGCCCTTCAGAACTGTTCCAGGTTGGGGCAGGGGCCAGGCTTTCATATTCCCTCATTGACCATTCATTGGATGCAGCTGCCCCTGGGAAGAGGTTGTGGCATGGGGGCAGGAGCGGCAGATCTCTGCAGTTGAAGGCAATTTCTGGAGACAGCTTGAAGGTGAGGGCTGGCAGCTGGCAGCAATACCCGCAGCTGGGGAAATAAGCTCTCAAGGACAGTCTAGGTGACACAGCAAGGCATCCAGAGCACGGTGCTAAGCACGTTCCATGCCTTAAGGAGCTTATTATCTGGATGGCCGAATTAAACAAGCATGTGAATGACAGTGCTATATGGTGGCAGCAGGCAGATGGAGATCCCAAAGCCCCAGGGATGTGCAGATGGAGGTGATGATGGTGGAGGTGGAGGTGTCACACTTGCTTGGGGAAAGAATTTGAATTGGGTCTTAGAAAATCCTGGCTTGAGGATTTTTCTCATTATCCTGTCAAGGTAGCGTGATTGAAATCCTCGGTGCCTAAAGGGGGGCTTCTTTACACAGACCACTAGACCTGATTCCAAACTAGACATTCAGTCGATCCCTGGGGCTGAGGAGTGACATCTGGCCAAGTGCTGCAGCTGGGAGTCAGTTTGCTTGTTTTCTCTTCATCTCAAGGAGTTCCAGGAAATGTCACTGCAGAGTTCAGGGCTTCCATTATCTCAAGCCTCACTTCCTGTGGCTGCTGGACTTGCCAGGGTATCAAAAGGACAAGCTGCATCTGCTCTGGGGCCTGGACAGTTGCTCTGCTCGGGGCAAGAAGCACCAGCTGACTTCCCTGCAGTGACTTATATCTTTTCATTCCATGGCGTGTTCCTGAGAAGTAGGGTTTTCTGGAATGAGGGGAATTGCCTTGTACTGCCAAGAAAGCTGTGGAGGCATTTAGGAAGTAGATAAAATCCAGAGGGGAAGCCTGCATATGAGCAGGTGCCTGCATGGTGGCGTCTCCCAACACCTGCCTGATCCTGAATCTCTCACCTTCTTCTCGGCCAGATTGCCAGGAACCTCTCTCCCACTGGGCTCCTGCTAAGCTCATACCTGTGACTGAAGTCATGGCAGCAGCAACTGATCCCATGGTCACATATGCAGACTCTTGGTTCCTCAGATCAGTCAATGATCCCATAGCAAGACCCAGTTCCGTGGGATGGGACAGACATGGATCATGGGAATGGGGTGTGTGTACACATGTATGTTCATGGGTGTGTGTGCATCGCCAGCCTGGAGAGGACAGAACACCCCGTTGGGGAGAGGTGATCCTCTGACATCCTGGAAGGGGGTGGGAAGGAGAGCAAGAGAAAGAGGGACAGGAGATGAAGTGGCCTGTGAGCGAGGAAACTTGAACTGAAGTCAGGTTTCACCAGTGTCATCATTCTGCGAGTGAATCTGAGGTTCTCCCAAAGCTTAATCAAATCCCAGTCCCATCCCCTGATGGGGTTGGGATGCAGTGAGGGTCCTTTCTTCATTACACTGATCTGGCATTTGCTACTGCCTTAGCTCCTTGTCTTAGAAAGGATGAAGAAATGCTATGAAAAGACACTGGCTGGCAGAAAAGGAGACTTTACGTCACACAGGAGCGTGATTCTGAAACTTTGTGAGTGAAGATAAACATGTGGCATCTGGGCCGTGCATTCAGTGCACTGGAGGATCTCCTATTACCTATGACATTCCTAGGTGGCCTGCACTGGAGCCAGGCTGTCATGCACCCTCCAAGCTCTCCCCAGTGAGTGCACCTTGAGTGTTCATAGCCCACGTCAGCACCAGATCATGGTGGCTGGGAGACCAGGCAAGGACGCAAGGCTGTGTGTTTAGCCAGGTGAGGAGGCCACAGTAGGCCAGGGCCTGCAGGTACCCACAGGTATTCTCCGGGCCCCCAGCACCTTTCAGGTGTTCACTCTCTGTCAGCATTGCTCCTCCCAGAGCCGCCACATCTCTTCCATTCTCTTTCCCTCTGTGCCTTTTGGGGCTTGGTTGCTTTCCTTCCTTCCCATCAGCAGGATTCCCGCCTCTTCCCTGAACTGCTCCTCTTCTAGCATATGCCAACAAAACTCCGTGTGCAGGGTGTTTACGTTAACAGCGAGTTTCCCATCTACTGTCTCCTTGTGTCCTCACGGTATCTCCGAAAGATTGAAATGATCCTGACTTAGGGGAAAATAAATGGAGCCACAGAGAGGCATGTGGTGTATCCTGGTGCTGGTTTTCAGGTGGCCTGACTGATTCCCCTGTCCCTGAACTTCCGGTCTCTTCTCCAAGTAATGCTGTGTGGGAATGGTGTGACATGCTGACCTGCCCTCAGGCCACGGTTGCCTCCATTATGCTTCAGTGATGTTCCCTGGGGTGGGGGTGGGGGAACCGCCCTTCCTGAAATTCTAAGGGAGGAGATAGAACTGCTACTTTTAACATTTCCTTATTTTATAGTCTCAAATGTTCTAAGTGCACACAAGCATACCCTCTGGATCTTTAGAAAAGGATTATTCCTTTGAAAATTCCCCAGCCATCATTCTCTCTGGAAAGCACTGCCATACCCTTTCCTCCTGACTTATCCAGTAAGAACCATTTCAATGTAGCCTCCCAACACACACACACACACACACACACACACACACACACACACCCCTCGCTCCACAAAGACTCCCCTGCTACTGCCTAGGTCCCCTCTGTACATCGGGCACCAAAGTTAGGTGGGCAAATGCCAGGTGGCACAAGGTCACTTACAGTGTTGTCACTAGTGCAGGCCCCTGCTTCAACTGACCTCACAAACAAGACCTCTGGCTCCTTGAGTATAGAGGAGGCTGCAAAGCCAGGAAGCTGTTGTTATAGCTGCTGGGTCTGCCCCTGGCTTGATGGGCTTCAGCAAACTCTCCCATGAGTATATCTGGTTGGCAGGACCTGAAATCACATCCTGAACCTGGCTGCAAGGGAGTCTGGGAATTGTAGTCTGCCTCTTTCTGACCTGTACATGCTCTGTTTAGGGTTTAGGCAGACAAATGCCCAGTCAATCCCCAGTGTCTGTATTATTGCAGAAAGGAGACAGACCCTATTAGTGTTTGACTCCATCAGTGCAAAGTTCTCCAGCTTAAAAAGTGATGTTCGTGACAATGTGAATGCATTTAATACCACCGAACTGTACACTTAAAAACAGCTAAGATGGTGAATTTTATGTTATGTGTATTTTAACACAATTGAAAAAAAGAAAAAAAGTGCTATTGCAGAATATGGCTCAGACACGAAGCGATTTTGTTACATCTCCAATGCCTTCCTCCTCAGGTGGACTTGGTTCTTCAGGAGGCAGGAACTCAGACTCCTGGGAGACTTTCTCTCCTTTACACTTGCTCCAATGGTAGTCTTAAACTACTGGAAGAACTGACTAGGTATTTTGATTATGATAATCTAGGTTATGCCCACATGGGTTAAAACCCATGACTATCAGCGACTTAAAATTAAAACGACTGGGGTTTGTATCTTGTTCATGTCACCTGTCCAGTGCAGACTGGGAAGGGGGAAGGGATTGCAAAGTGTCCCAGAGACGTGGGCTCCATCTTCACACTTGCTCCCACATGCATTCCTGGCGAAGCGGGAAAAGCAGAACATGGTACACTTGCAAAGAAGGGACATGTTGTTTACACTCGTATTTCACCAACCAAAGCAAGGCACAGGGCTCGCTTAACTTCTAGGAGGTGGCAAATCCAATCCTCCCTGTGCCAGAAGGACCAGGAAACCAAAATGTGGTGAACAGCACTAATTCCCTTCAGTGGGAGGTTGAGGGGAGCACGCGCCCCCACATCCTTCCATTCCCCTCATCGCTGCAACCAGGATAACCTACATCGCCCATTACCATTTTCTTTTCTTCTGGGCACTGAAAATTTCAACTTTCAAGATACTGATAAAACTTTTACTTAAAAATGGCCTGTGAAAAACCAGCACAGTCCCCAGAGGCAAAATTCTAATCACGCTTTTCCTCAAATACATCAGAGCTTCTCCGTCAGTCATGATTCTGCAGGCTGGGAATGCTGTGTGTTTACTTTTGTATAAAAACGCTGCCTATCTTCCTTGGATGAGAGGGTGAGATGATAGGCACAAGAGCGGACCCCAAAAGGTTTCTCAGGTTCAGCTCAAGTACCACATCTTTATCCCAGGCTTTCTCCAACCACCTTCTCCCCAGGTGGAAGCTATTTCTGTCTCTCACGAGCCCTCGCTCTGCCTGCACTTTGCTGCCCAGAACCTGTCATGGTCCCTCATTGTATTGTCAATATTTGTATAAATGCCTCACTTCCCTATGAAGTTGTGAGCTCTTTGACAGCAGGAACTTGATTTGATCCATCTAGAATTGTCCCTCCTGCACAGATGGCATCTATTAAGTATTTTTGAATATCTCAATGGATGAATTGCTATCTTCACCTTAGGGCCTTTCCTGCCAGAGGGTCTCAGTATCTTCTGAGTGAAAGAAAGAATGGATGGGTGGATGGATGGACAAACTAAAGAATAAAGGATTGAATACGTATGGAGGCCAGTTAGTATCTCATAGGGGAAATAAAGAAGCCTGTTCTCCCCAGATAGCTCTGCTGATTCTGACCAGCTAACACATAAATGTAGGCTCTTGGAACAGAGAGCATAAATAGGAGTGGGGGTGACTCAGGGCAACCTCTCAGCACTCTGCAAATTGAGGCCAGGTCCTGCATCGCCAGCAGGGTCCCCTGCACCTGGACACAATGACTTTGGTCACAGTTTAGCTTTTAGGCGCCGGGGGCAAGCTTTGCTGGGGCAGGGGTGTGGGGTGTCGCTCTTCCTGTCTGACGATTTCTGTGGCCCAGGCTAAGTGGTGTGGGGAAGGGAGAGACAGGACAGTGGGGTCTCGAGGGATTCTTGCCTGTGAGACTGCCACGACGAGTCTCTGCTTTCCAGATTAAATGTTTTCCAGGCTGAGGCATGAGGTCTCCCTAGGCCTCTATACAAGGTCAGTAGGTCAAGGCAGCAAGAGTCAGAGGGCCAGTCCCAGAGAAAGTAGTCCTCAACTGTCCCCTCACCCATTGAGAGGAGCCTCAAGCATTATTTCCTCTTTCTTGGGAGATGGGAGAAGTGTCATCATGGAATTCTCATGCCACATAGATCTCTCTGGGGTGGAGTCTTGAAGAAGGGAGGGAAGACAGGCAGGGAGACGTAAGGCAGGAAGGTGGTGCATGAAGTGGCGGGGGGGCGGGTGCGGCGAGGGGACTGACACCCCTCTTTCTTCTAAAACAAAAAGACAGAAACTACACCTTCCTCTGCTGTCTCCTTCCAATTTCTCCTTTAGCTCAAAGAAAGGCGTAGAGCTAAGAAATGGTCCCTTTGCTGGGCTTGACGCTCTATTTGAAGAAGGCTTTATTACATGTGAAAAAGCAATGTGTGGATGCAGAAGGAAGCCCTAAGGTTTGGGGACCATCTCCACTCGAGATTTCCAGGAAGCAATGGTTCCATGAAGTCAGCCTGGATAGTCACTGGGCCTGGACAGGCACCAGGCCAAGGGGATGCTACTGGCGGATGCTGGCTATGGGCAGACCAATCCTCTGCCAAAGATGCCAGGAGAAACCCTCAGTAAGAACCCAACCCCTCTCCCTCAGCCTCCCCTGGAATGATGCTTTGTGGCCAAGTGGGTACCAAAGGATAAATGTGATATATTAACAAGAATACTAATGACAAACGCACTGCAGTAGTGAGCACATAGATACATAGAATATTCTCTATAGTCTCAACATAGATATAAAATAAGTTATACTTGTTTTTGTTTTCCATCACAGTTAGAAGCATACCATACAAAGTGACCCGTTCAGTGGCCACGAAGCAAGGGAGAGACTATGAAGGAGGGAGTGGGGCACTGAGAATGGTGGGGATTTGCCAAGGACACTGCAGGGTCACTGGGGGTCCTGCAAGGAACAAGACCTCAGACCTCTCAAGTTGGCCTTCTGAGATTCAGCACGAGGTCCCACTTGCTAAGAGTTGGTGGCTGCACTGGAGCTGGATGATTCAGGCTACTGGTGGGAGGTGGAGCAGAGACAGACTCGAACATCATCCAGCAGGCCGGCCCACTCTCCTGCTGGCGCTGTTGGACTTCTGCAATTTTAGGGATGTGAGGCACACAGCCAGAAGGCACGGTTTGCTTCTGTGATGTGACAGATGGCCAGACTGAAGGCCCACCAAATGCTGCCTAGCCCTTCTCCTGCACCAGCCTGTTGTGGGAGGCTGAGGGGACCTGCATGCTTGGCTTGTTCTCCATGATTCGTCATGGGCTAGCAGAGCTGGAATCCTGCACACATTGTCACAGCAGAGGGAAGACTCTGAACCCCTGGCTTTGAATCCTCTCTCCATCACGTGTGAGCTGTGATGTTGGGAAGGTCACTTAGAGTCTGAGACTCGGGCTCCTCATCTGCAAAATAGGGGGACTAAGGCATACTTCCCTGCGGGGAGCGAGGGCCACGTAGATAATGTACATAAAGTGCCTAACACGGTTCCTGGCTCACGGCGGGGTCTGGATACATGTAATTGAGTATGAGCCTCCAAACATCAGAGGCCGGGTGGAAAGAATATGAATCTCACAAAATCTGGAATAAAACCACCTTGATCGGCTCTGAGTAGAGGATTAGAGGACAGTTTCTTTGCATTCTTTCCTGTCAATTTTTTCTCTTCTCCCTCCCTCACTGGGATTCTTTCAAATGAAGTGCCAACAGGGTTCAAAGCCAGGTTTGTTGAGGCAGACAGAGCCTAAGTCTTGGAAAAAACAGCTCAGGGCCATGAACTCCACGACTGGGACCTGGTTCCCCGAGGATGCTTCCCTCCTCGCCTCCCTCATTTCCCAGGCCCGGAGCAGATTTCACATTGGGAAGCCAAAGAGGGGGAGCGAGCACAGAAAACAACGTGAATTGCCTATGAAGTGAAAAGCCTTTCCATCTGCTCAGAGTCCAGGAAATCTGGAGGTGGGTGGGCCATCTGTGGGCAAGTGAACTGCCTCTCCGGGAGAAAGCAGGTCTCTGTGTAGCGGAAGACGGGAGGGAGAGAGGGATGGAGACCTAGGCTTGAAACTTGCGACCCTGGGAGTGCCCTTGTGCTTCTACCAATGCTGAGAACCTGTAGATGCGTCCAAACAAAGATCAGCCTGGAAACCTGGGGATCACTGTCCTCTCTCATCTGCACTGCAGTTCTCAAGATCTGCACACGCGTGCACGCGTGTGTGTGTGTGTCTCATCACCTCCCTCATTTCCTCTAACACCTGCCTGCTCTGAACCACCCCTTGTCCCTCATCACTCAGTGACTTTCCTCTTGGATGGGGGCAGGAGGTGCGCAGGCAGCTCATTGGGCAGCTCATGCCCCTCCAGCTTGACCTTAATGAGGTGGTTGGCCAGTGCGAACTCCTCATCATCCAACATGCCATCCTTGTCGATGTCAGCCAGCTTCCAGATCTTGCCCAGCACGCTGTTGGGCAGCTTGGAGCGGACCATCTCCTTCTTGGCATTAGCACCTGTGATCTTGCCGTCCACCGGTGACAAGGTGTAGAAGATCTCGTCATACATGGGCTTGTCCCTGGCCACCACCCACTCAGCATCATCGATGCCCTCCCCGGCCCCCTCCCCATAGCCGTGCCCAAAGGGACCATGAAGAGTGCCCTCGAACGCTCCACCCTTCACCATCTGGACGGGCCGCTGTGTCTCCTCCTGGCGCACCAGCACCATGAGCTGGGCAATGTCGTGGGCCAACATGTCGTCTACTGCCTCCAGCAGCTTGCTCTTCAGTGGCTGGAATTTGCTAAAGTCCTGGGCCTGCAGCTGGTCCTGGGAAGAGGGAGAGAACAGAACGTGAGGATAAAGACAATGAAAGAAGATCCTTCCCCTTAGTGGGGACGTTGCCTTCTACTAATGCTGGAATGTCCATAGCCCTTTGGCCCGGAGGCTAAGCTGATCCACATCACAAAATAAAAAAAGATATGAGAGAGGAGGAAGAAAAAGGCACATTGGCTCCAGGCAGAATTTGTCAGGGGAGAGTGGAACAGTTGCAGGGATGGGGGAAGAAATGGAAATTTGACATATATTGGTTTGATTCATTATTTGAATTCTCTTTAATGTTGTTCTAGAAGGCAAATAATTAAATTTCTCTTTAAGTTACGTTTGGCTATTGCATGCTTCTTGAATCTCTGCCCCTCTGAGACTAGGCATGTGTGTCTCTCTCCTTTATTAAGGAGGTTACACTTGAAAACCCTGAGAATGCCTTCATGACATTATCTCACTCGCACCCCCAGCACCCTTCTGAGGGAGGGAAACCACATTCTATCCCCATTTAGGGAATGAAAAACTGAGGTATAGGCAACTAAAAATAAGTCATAATAGAAGCCAAGGGTCATTCCCAAATTAGCAGTTCTTAATCAGGATGATCACTGGAGTTACCTGGAGAGAGTTTGCAAATATCAGCTTCTTGCCCCAGGGTTCTGACATAGTAGACACAGCAGACATGCAGATTTTGTGAAATCTCCCCTCCTTGCCTTCCCACAACACTCACACCACACAGCAAAAGAAATAGGCTCCATTTTGCACATCTTTGCAATTTTGAAAGGTCCTGCGTCTGGAATACCCAGCTTCTCCTTGGCCTCCATAGTGACAAGGTGAGAGCTTTCCGCTCCTGCCTTGGCTCTGGCCACAGCAATCTCAGGATGCTGGGCAGAGGCCAGTGCCCAGGGGACAGTGTCAAGGACAAGCACATGGAGCTCACTGCAGAAAAATTCAGACGACACCCACAGCTACATTTCAAGAGCAAGTGTTAGCTTGGGCATTTCTCACCTCCCTTCCAGGGCAGGGCTGAACCACGGAGGCAGGTGGGGGCTGGGGGGGGGGGGGGGAGGGCAGAACCTCAGGCATAACCTGTCAAGGTCCCTCGCATCTCTCCTAGTCTGTCCATATCTAGGTGTGTTTGGTGGGCTCCCAAGTAAGGGTCCCAATATTTTCCAGGGGGCACAGTGGGTACTCCCATCACCCCACCCATTTGCCCATAAGACAGCCATTTACGTTATCGATTCAGCTACCTACCTACAGAACCTACCATCAGACTGACAAATAAATGAGAAGGGGAAATCATTTATGTTGTGAAAGGATTCCTCACATCAAAAAATGGTCCCTTTCAAATGTCATCTTCCCAAATGTTTGCTTACAGATCATTACATTCTTAACAGAAAGAGAAACTAAAAGTTAAAGTTTTCCAAGCCACAGCTGATTGAGAGACCCAAATTACGTTAAAGTAATTCTGAAATTAGTGATTGGCTCTAATTAGATATATGAACGAATGCATACTTTGTTTGTTAGGTATATGAACAAATGTATACTTTGAATGTTTATTTTTTTCTATTTATATTATCAGACAGGAAACTGAAAATGCCCAATTGGGACTATTGTGATGTTCTGAAATCCTAGTCTTTGTTTTTTTCTTCTTCTTCTCCCCAAAGCCCCCCAGTACGCAGTTGTATATTCTAGTTGTAGGTCCTTCTGGCTGTGCTATGTGGGACGCCACCTCAGCATGGCTTGATGAGTGGTGCTAGGTCTGCACCCAGCATCCAAACCAGTGAAACCCTGGGCCGCCGAAGTGGAGCACACAAACTTAACCACTTGGCCATGGGGTCAGCCCCATGAAACCCTAGTCTTAAACTGAGAAACTGGTTCCCAAGCTAAACACCAAAAGCAGCAACAAGAGCAAAAACAATATTACTACTGCATCAGCTGCTATTTTTTTCTCTAATTCCCTAATTCTTAAACACTTTTTATTTTAAAATAATTACAGAATCACAAGATTTGCAAAAATTGTACACAGGTAGGTCCTGTACCTCACCACCCAGGTTCCCCCAGTGGCGACATCTTACCTAACTTGCCACTGCATTGTCAGGGCACAGTCCGTGGCAGGCTCTGTGCCAAGTGCCTTGCAAATATTATCTCACTGATGCTCACAACATCCATATGAGGCGGGTGCTTCCGGAGCCTCAGTTTACAGGTGAAGAGACAGAGGCTCAGAGCGGATCCAGTTAGTATGTTGTGGTTCCTGCTTGGACCATGAGGACAGTTCCCGGCTTTAACTAGCAGCCGATGTGAACACTACACTCAGAAAACTGCAGGCAATTAATTACAAAGGTTAGTTACCTTTGTAAACCTCAGTTTGCTCATCTGTAACCAGAGGGTGACAATGCCTCCCTCAGAGGACTGATGTGGGGAATAACATGAGAAACCATGTGTGATGCGCCCTGGTCCAAGAAAGGGGCCTACAATATGCCCCCAAAATGGCAAGCTCCTCTGCAGACACCTCTCTTCTGTGGCTTGTGTCCCAAATTGCTCCCAAGCGGGAACCTGGAGGTTAAGTTACACACTTGAGGGCCTGGAGCACCTTTGTCATGTGACTTGTCCAATTTCACATCACATGGCAAGGATTCCAAGCCTGTGGCGGCTGCGATCAGAGAAAGTCATAAACTGGAGGTATCAGACCCCAACCACCATGTAACACCCCTGGCCCACTGGGGGCGCTGGGGCTCGGTGTTTCTCCCCAGGTCCACATATGACACCTGCTGGGCGACAGCCCAGTAGGGAAGACAGACCTAGGGCCATCTCCCACCTTCTGATTCTGGTCTGGGGCATCCAAGGGTGGCCTACTCCACACTCGGGTTGCTCAGCCAGCTCACGTGACATTGTCCCTTGTCCTGGAGCCCCAGACCCTGGTTACCTGCATCTTCTTCACATTGGGAAAGTCCCCAGGTGAGATCTGGTGTTCCCGCTCGATCCGGCCATAAATCTCAGCCAGGTTGTTCACCAGCTCCTTCTTCTTGTTTTCCTTTCCAAACACGGAGGGCATCTCCTTCTTTAGAGAGCTGATGATGTAGGCATGGACCTGAGAGACAGGCAGAGAGAGACCTTCGGATCAAGAACTTTGATTTGTTCGTTCCCTCTAGAGTGACTCTCACCCCATCTCCTCCCATAAATCCCTCCTCTTCTCCTGCTCCTACTTCTGAAATAATTTCTGTCTCCACCCTCTCGCTCCCACGATGGTTGCAGCACTGAGCTGTTTTCCTAGATCGCGTGGGAAAGGCGGGATTAGGGGCAGGTTAAGGTCAAGGCAGTAACAGGGCTGGTAATGCTGGTGACGATGTTGATGATGAAGAAGACAGTAACGACAGCTAACATTCTGAACACTTCTGACGATGCCAGGTGCTGTCATGAGGGCTTTCACATTCTTTACTCTACATCATCCTCCAACAAGCCTCTCACTTTATAGCTGCGCACAGACTGAGGCCTTGCTGGGGTTGGCATCACATAGCTAGTAAACAGTGGAGTTGGGCTCCAATCTGGCCATCTGACGTCAGGGCCCATGATCCCATCACCACCACACCATCCTGTCCCCCAGCTTCCAGAGCTGGCAAGCCTGATGCTCACGATGCAGTAGTTATAGGACACTCTCGTATGGGCAGGCAATAGCTCAGGGTTGCAGGCAGCAGCCCTCAGTTCTTGCAGCTGACTGTCCCACTCCAAACCCTGAGCCCCACCTCTGTTGCCCATCTCCCCAGGGGGCAGCCTCACCTTGGCCAGCCTGGCTCTCTTGATGAGGTCGTTGAGTTTGCGCAGGGCAGCGTTTCGGGGCAGACTCTGGATGTCTCTGAAAAGGTCCTGCTCCTCGGCCTCAAAGAGTTTCCGATTGTCGGGGATGAGAAGGGGGTGGGACCAGAAGGAGCCAATGTAGACCCGAATCACCTCTGGGGTGTTCACAATCTTCCCCAGGGACCACATGAGGGCCCCGTACACCCGCATCAGCTGCTGCGTCTCAATCTGGTCGGCCTTGTTCAGCACCACCCGCATCTTGTCCTCGTGGTTCTTGAGGGCCTTGATGACTTCCGAGAATTCATCAGAGATGTCCAGCTTGTGGGCATCAAACAGCAGGATGATGCGGTCGACCCGCTCAGCGAACCACTCGAGGACAGCTGCAAAGTCATACCCTGTCGGCAGAGGGACAGTCAGGGGGAGGGGCCTTTGGGTACAGGGTTGGGGTTTGGGGAGGTAGCCAGGGTCAGTAGAAATAACATGGTCTTGGGGGTCAGATCTGGGTTCAAATTCCAGCTCTTCTGCATTTTCACTATTTGGCTTTCAGCAAGTTACTCAGTGCTTCCGAGTCAGTGTTTTTCCATCTATAAATGGGCCTACTAACAGTTCTTAGTTAATACAATTACAGGGACTAAATACTCAGAGCCTAGCACAAAGCTGCTCAGTAAATGCTAGTTATTAGTAACATTATTCCCATTTGGTCTTCACATTCAAGGAAAGGGGCCCTCTCCATTAAGGGACAGGCCCAGGAAAGTGTTTCGGGGGCCAAGCTCTGCCTAGTAACAAGGTGAGGGCGTTGTTAGTGCCACCTAGAGATGGTCGCCCAGTGACTCAGCCGAGACCACCCTGCCTGTAGGAGGCAGCCGGTGGGACAGGTACCCAGCTCTCCAAGCCCAAGTTCAATGGATGCTCCGGCTGGCAAGACGTTCACATCATGGTCTCATTTCACCCTCATGACACCCTCTGCGGTAGGCAAAGTGAGGAGTATCAGTCCCACTTTCCAGAGGAGGAAACTGAGGTTCAGAGATGAGGTGAGAGTCAAACAGCCGGCAAAGGGTGGAGCCAGGACTGGACTGGATCCCATCACCCAGGCCCTGGGCTCCCTGCACAGTACAAGAGGGCCGCCGCCTGTGCCTGGCCGCCTCCCTGCCTCCCTGCCCTCCCCTCCCCAGCTCACTGGCCCAGCCAGCAGCCCCACAGAGCCCGGAGGCCCCGCGCATTCCTGCCCCAGGTGAGCCTGCAGCCTGTGCCCCTCCCCTCCTCTGTGCCCAGGGAGGGCTCCCGCCTATTTTCAACCTTCCCTTCAGCACAGCCAGGTGGAGGGTGGCTCTCACCTACCAAAAGCAGTCCCTCAGAGCTGTGGACAGCAAGGATACCAGACGGCTCAGAAAATCAGGCCACCTGACCCCCCGTCCCAACTCCACCCTGGAAAACAGGTCACAGCTCTGCTGCTCTGGCACCTGGAACCAGCAGGCTTGCCCTCCCAGTAACTGGAAGGACAGCAGGGCTCAGAGGCCCCTGGCACTCTGCCAAGACCTAGTCCCAGATCTGGCCTGACAAGGATTTTAGCTGCAGTGTGCAGGCCTGGGGAGGGCTGCTGGGAAAAGCGTGGCTGCTCCCTCCCACCTGTGCAGCACACTTTGGTGTTCACAGAGGCACCCTGGCTCACATCAGCCGCTCAAAGCCTGCTGGGCAGCCAGAGCCGCCAGCACTGGGCTCTTTACTGACAAGAAAATGCAGGCTCAGAGAGGGCACGGCAGCGATGGGGTCAGAGCCAGGACCAGAACTCAGGTCTTCAACCCCAAGTCTGGCACTCCAGCCACCCCTCCGGGGCTGGGGAAGCTAAGGGGCCTGTGAAGCTGCAGGGGAGAGAAGAGGCTCCCAAGCTCCAAACTCTCCAACCCTGAGGGCACCAGCCTGGCAGGAGGCGGCTTTGCTGCCACAGCATGGAGGGGGTAAGGACAAGTCCCCGCAATCTGACCAGCCCCCAGCTCGGGGTGGGGTGGGAGAGTGACAGCACCAGGTCAGTGCGGCAGAACAGGACGGCCCCCTGCCCGTTCCTGTCCCCACGCTGGGTCAGGTGCCCCTCAGTTCTCTCACAGTGCTCAGGGAGACATCTGTCCCTCTGCTCACTCACGGAAGTCACCAGGCTGAGTCCCTCCACTGCACTGGGAGCCGGCAGGGCGGGCGGCACTCATCCTTCTCCACTTGCCCTGCACCCAGCACAGCGCCCGGCACACAGTAGGTGCTCTATCAGGATTTGTGAACAGAACTGACACGTGAGCCCTGTTCTGCCTTTTATATCAGGGGACAGTGAACGTTATCTCCAGGCTTCAGTTTTTTTCTGCTCTCTGAATGGGAACCCGCCAGACCCCACCACGGGGTCATTGTGAGGATCCAATCGAAGAAGAGGATGCAGGTGAAATTGTTTGCGTGTGACCTGGCTGTTCCTATTGCTCTGCCCTTTTATAAAGAGCTCCTTGTAAGCACCAGTTTCCATGAGATGTTGTGCTCTGAAGGGGTCACCTGAGGGGCACTGGCCTGGGAAAGCTCACCTCTAGTTTCCGCTCAGCCATTAACTTGCTGTGTGTCCTTGGGCAAGCAGCCTCCCCTCTCTGGTCCTTGGTCTGTCTGCCTGTCAAGCCAGGGGGTTGGATTGGAAGATCTCCGTGCTTCCTTTCTCAGTTCACAATTCCCTACTTCTAAGACTCGAGGTGTGAGGGGTGAGGGTGGGGAGTATACCAGGATGGATGGAGATCAGACACAAGGAAGCCGTTGCAGGCAGCGAGAAAGAAGCCTGAGGCCTCCCATCTTAAATGCTTCGGGGTGCCTATGTGAAGTCTGATCCTGCCTGAGGACACGCAGACGGGCTTCCAGGAAGCCTTTCTAGGATTTTATAAGCACAGAGGCCTCCTATTCATCCTGCTGCTTTTGCAAATTCTGCACGCTCTGCCAAGCTGCTATCAAATTGCCACGTCAGTAACGCCAGGCACTTTCTCCCCAGGACGACTGTGCGGGCCCTGAGAATCCAGCAACGCCACCATGGGCTTCCTCTGAAGCTTGGCCCCCTGTCCCTGGCTATTCAGAGCCTAGCAGCCTCCAGGATGAGTATTTTATTGTTTCCTGACTGGGCTTATGCCTACCCAGGAAGGGGAGCATCCGAAAGGCATGAACTGGACCCATTAAGGAAAAGGCACAGGACTAGTTCTGCCATTTATTTTCTGGGCAGCCTTGGACAAGTCTGAACCTCAGTTTTCTCAGCTGTAAAATGGGGATACCAATACCAAGGGATTGATGAGGGGTCAGTGATAGAGCCATGGCAACAGGGTCCAATAGCAGAGGGAGGGCCTGGACTCAGTGTGGAGGTAACAGGCCCCTTTCCCTCACTGGTCCCGGGAACAGCTCTGAGACCTCCACAGGAGCTCTGAGCACCTGCAGCGGCCCGAGTGCTCGTGAGATGTGGGCTAGCGGGCAGGGGGGTTCGAGCCCCAAGGGTCTGAACGGTGAAGCTGGTATTGCTGGAGTTATGTATAGGTACAGCAAGTCTGCTGGCTCTGGGGGATCCGATCTGCAGGCATCAGGCCCAGAGTCGGGGCAGCCTGCAGGAATCTGGGGCTCCCCACTGCCCCCTGGCCTCCAGAGGACTGGGAAGAAAGCTTTTCTTAGTAATGCCAGGCAGGAGGAAATCAACGAGACAAACACAATAAGCAAGAAAACTTAATCACCCACCAGCTTCCTTCTCTGCCGTGCAATAGAAGGGCGCTGACAGGCAGCAAGTTTCTCTGTATTTTCAACCACAAGATCTCATCTGAGCCTCATAACTTTCCATATGCCAAGAGACAAACATGACACACACATCTTACGGGGAGGGGAGAGGGCACAGAGAGGTTAAGGGGCTTGCCCAAGCTCACACAATCAGGGGCGGCAAACACAGGACCAGGACCAGGATCCTTGACTCCTGTCCATGATCCCTTCTTGCTCAGAGGACCGAGCTCTCAAACCAGGCACACTTGTAGGGGGTAGTCCCATTCCACCTCAAAAAATCTTTTTGAAGATTTAAAGACATTTTAGAAGAGTAAAAAGGCATCAATTTCCAAAATGTAGGAAGAGCTCTGATAACAATAGGGAACAAATGCCACACTACATGGCCCCCAGAAGAAACCCTGAAAAATGGCCCAGCAGACTCGTCACAGGCCTCCAGATGAGCACCAGGCTGTCAACAAGCCCTTCCGAAGAGAGTCAGGACTCTGCTGCTCTGCCCCGGCACGTGAGGCCCACATGGGCGTGTGTGTAAATCATGTAGCCCAGGGGCCCCTAAGTGCAGGCCCTGCTCCAATGAGGGCGCCAGGGCCAAGCCAGGGATGCAAGGCTGCGAGGTCAGCCCAGACCCCTCAAGGTCCCCTGGGAGACGTGTAGATGAGTTTGTCATCTCTGCTTTCTTCCTAGGCAGGCGATGAGCATGTGCTGAAATCTTGAGCAGGATCATGATCAGGAGATCGAGTCCTCAGCCAGGTTTGTGACCTGGGCAAGGTTTTTATCTGTTCTGGCCCTGCTGAGCTCACCTGTGCAGAAAGAGGTCTGCAGGGGATGGTGTGAGCACCATGCCCAGGGGCTGCTTTCCAAGGGAGGGGGCTGTGGGGACTTCTAGCTGAGAAGCAGCCGGAAACGGTTCCCGAGTATGAGGACACTCAGGCTTCCGGAGCCTCCCACTTCCGTGGCAGCCTCCCTCCTCCCCAGTAATGAGCCCTGGGCTGGGCACATCCTGTCACTTCCCCCCAGTGCAGCTTCACCCAGAGTCAAGTGCCAGCCTGGGACCACCCGGGTTCAGGTTCCCAGATGTCCCTTGCTTCCTCTCTTCCCGCAAGACACCACCCTCAGGCCCGGGTGGAGGGGTCACAGCTGAGCAAGGATCATACTTTGCCCAGCTCTGGCTTGGGCCTGAGTGCTCCTTCCCATGGAGCCTGAGGCCTGGACAGCCCTTGGCAGCAGCTCACTTTTCAGAATGCACACACTGGGGCCACTGGCGCAGGGGTGGCTCTGTGCACATTTGATAAAGTGCCCCTCTTTTCTGGTGAGACACAGCCCTGCGCTTGGCGTGAGGCTTGGCGAGCAGAACGTGGGCTAGATTTCAGACTCCACATGCCCCCGGCTGGGTGTGCTTGTGCAGGTGGCAGTCTGCAGGACTATCCATGGAGCTCGGTCCTGCCCTGGGCCGAAGGAAGGGAAGGAAGAAGCACCAAATCGGTGCTGAGGGCCCCAGGCAAGGAGCCATATAAACCGTTTGTTTTTGTGCACACACTTGTGTGCGTGTGTGTGTGTGTGTGGAGGCAAGTGTGGATGTGGGGGTGTATATGTGTGTAGGTATAAACGGGAACTCCAGGTTCTATGGCTGATTGTGAGGAGCGACTCTGCATATTGGAAACTCTCCTCATTTGGGGTCCCCTTGATATTTGAGGATGTCTAAGGCACCCCCCCCCCATTTTCTGGTCTCCTTGGGGTGCTGAGGTCAGCACTGCCCGAGGCTGGTGACGCAGTGCTGGTGGCCCAGCTCCCAGCTCTTGTTTTTGTCACAGGCTGCTTTTGCTAGCGTCTGCATTTACAGTCTGGATTCAGGAGGGCAGAGAACAAACTGGCCTGGCTAGCCGCTCATGGGGCCATCACTTCTCCCAGAGGTGGTGCTTAGTCAGTGTGGGATGGGAGGGAATACAAAGGGCAGGCAATAAAACCAAGCACTCAATATGCATAGGGCAGCCACTGAAGTCCAAAGATGAAGGCAAGAGAGAAGGCAGAGGAACATGAAAAGAATGGAATAAGACAGAAGCTGAGAAGAGCCTGAGTCCCTGAAGCAGGGCTGTCAGATACAGCTGCACAGGCTGTGCACTGCACAACTGTAAGGGAGGCCACTCGCATAGATAACCCTGGGTTGTATAATAGGCGGCCCTGGCTGGCAGATAAAGGGGAAAGAAGGGAGCTCACTGTGATCCAGACCCAGAGCTGATGTCTGTGTTTCCATTATCATCTGTGGACCTCACAAGGTCCATTACTCCTTGTCACAAATGAGGACCCTAAGGCTCAGGAGAAATTGTGACCTGCTGAGACCTACACAGGTTCTAAAACCCAGGGCTCTCATTTCCCTGTCCAGGGCTCCTGGAAGCCCCAGAGGCTGGAGTCCTCCTCGGACGCACGTGTTAGGCTGCACAGGCCTTGCAGGTGCAGGAGTCACCTACCCCCGAGGTGGGTCTAACGGAGAGCTTTTGGCTCTGCTGAGCCTCCCTTGAGGAGACACACGCTGCCCGTGTGAAACAGTAAATCCGCTTTGGTCCTAAACTCAGGACGAGCTCAGATGAAGCCTGGGGTGGGGGCTCAGGGGGAGGCCTTGTTGGGAGTGTTTAGGGAAGCCAGACAGAGAGCCATCCAAGCTGCTGCCCCACAGGGAGCCAGGCGCTGACAAAGCGCATGTAGGCCAGAAGGAGCAGGGGGTGAGCTGCCCCTCTCTGCCCATGGCCAAGCGTTTTATGGCTTCAGACCAGCTCCCCCTCACCCCCTGCACACCATACAGCCAGAGCCAGGGAGCTCAGGGCCCAGGCTCCCCAGACCCCCTTCACTGGGACCGTCTATAGACATCCCACTTTCGTGGACCGGCCGCCAATGACATGAAGTGTTAACACAGTTTCTGAGGCCCTCTCCTGACCCCTCTTCTATCCAGGCCTCACCTCTTCAGGGAACTGGGAGCGAAGGAAGGAGGAGCAGAGCTTTCCTGCTGGAGCCTGTGGCCCACCCTTCCCTCCCACCTGCTCCAGAATGAGGCCCCAGGAAGAGGAGGGTCAGTCTTCCCTTCAGGACAGACGGACGGTCATATGATCCTTGAGCAGGCTGCTGACCCAGGGGCCTCTCCTGCTGTCTTTCCTCTCTATCTCCCTCTTTCCCCTCTATCCAGGGCTGCTGGATCCACTCACACAGCCATGCTGGACCCCAAAGAGCCCAGCCCGGTCCTGCCACTCAATGCCTGTCCTCATCAGGGAGCGGCCCAACAAGAGAGCTGCTGTCTTCCAAGGGGAAGCTGAGGCGGCTCCCAGGAGCTCTGGACAGAAGCCCAGTCCTGGCACTAGCAGCCTGCGCTGGGTCAGCGCCTGCAGCACCCCGGCCTCATCAGTACAGCCACTGTCCGGACATGGCCTGCAGTCTGTGAGGGCTCAGGTCTTCTCATGGGGGGCCTGGCAGTGAGCAGGTGCCAGCACAGACCATGCTCCCACTGGAGGGGGTTTCTGGGCCCCTGGCTGCAGCGGTGCAGACATCCTGCAGGACAGACTTTGTACAGGGGGCCAAGGCACACGCGGGAGGAAAGCAGACAGTCACCCAAGGTCGGTTCAGGCCAGGTTCCAGCTGCTGCCCAGACAGCTCTTGCCAGTCCGGAGCCTTCCCTTCCCGGAGGCTGACTTCCGAGTGCTGATTTGGCTCCAGCCCAGCTCCTGGCTCCAGTATTGGGGTGGCTGCAGCTTCATCTGCTTCCTTGCCAGAGATACAGCACACGGCACAGGACGGGTGGGGGGACCACCGGGGCGCACAGCATGATGTGGCAGGAGAGGCTGGGGGCGGGAGCCAGGAGCAGCTGCTATTTAGCTTTTTACAGCATCAGTCGTGCATTTTAGAGTCAAAAACCCCACTGCTGAGGATGGTGGTGACGATTCTAACACCTCATGCTTACCAGGCACGTGCTAGGCGCCAGGCAGAACTCTTCTTACCTGGATTAGTTCTTTTCATCCTCAAACAACCCTATAAAGTAGACGGAATTATTTCCCCCTACTTTACAGATGAACCAACTGAAGTAAGGACACTGCCCAAGGTCACTCTGCTGGGAAGCGGCAGAGGCAGGCTTGGAAACCTGGGAGCTGGTCCAGAGTCCTATCTCCTCACCACTATGCTGGTCACCTCCCTTAACAAACAATTACCCCATATCTGTGCAAGTGAACAGTTTTCAAAGTGCTTTCACTGAGCCAGCTCCACTCCTAGGCCCCAGAGCATGTGGTCATCCTCACGTTGTGGATGTGAAGTTCTCTGCGTGCATTTGCCTCCTCCGCAGAACTACAAGCTCCCGGGGCAGGCACAGCAGAAACTTCAGAAGCAACTGGGGTCTGGCCCTTGGGTAGGAGCCTCTCGGAGAATGAATAAAGCCAATGAGGGAAGTAAGGCAGATATCGATGTCCCCATTTTACAGATGAGAAGACTGAGGGCAGTAGTCTCCAGAGCTACAGTGGACCCATACACGTCCGCTGGCCCCTGCCTAGGATGACCTCACACAGCACACGAGGCAGTGCCGGTTCATCAAGGGACAGCAAAGCCCTGGGAGCCTCTGTCTGTATGGAAGTGAGAGAACATACCAGAAAGAACATAGCACGGAGCCAGAGCCAGTCCTAACAGGCGTCTCTCTTACCTCGGCTGATCCTTTGCTTCTCCCCAGAGAGGATCCCTGGAGTGTCGATGACACTGATGCTCTCCAGCACGGGGTTGGGCAGCTGGGCACACATGAACCTGCACGTGGCAAGAGGAAACCCGCAGTGAGCCATTGTCCTCTCACGCACACTTGTTTCAGCCACATGCCAACATTCCCTGCCCCAAGGCAGAGGTTCAGCAGCCTGGCTGCCTTCCACTGCAGACTCCCAGGCCTCAGACCAGACTCAGCCCCAGCAGTGGGCCTGGGATCTTTGAAGAAGCTCCCTGGGTGATCCTGAGGCAGCCGTGGTCCCAAGTTTGTGAACTTCTGTTGGGGATGCCAGGATGTCGAGACCTCCATCCCTGCCCTAAGAAGCACAGTCTGGTGCAGAAGCAGAGGCACACACATGTGCATCCAGGACAGGAGGTGCAATGGGATCAGTACCCTGAGGAAGGGCAGGCGAAAGGGTTGGAGATCTAAAGCGGAGAGAAGGCTTCCAGGGATGCCTGCCTGGAGGAGGAGGCACTGGAGCTGGCCTTGCAGAATGGGTCACACCACCCAGGCTTCTAAAAGGCTATCCAAATACCAAACATTGCTGTTAGAATAGCAGTCAAGCCTTATTCAAGGAAATATTTCTAGTGCTACATCCCAAAGTCTCAGAATACAAATTGGCAAACTAAGTCAGATCCTTCTGACTTCAAGCCTTCTGTCTTACATGCCACTTCTGGTGGAAGCCAACAAGTGTCTTACTATCCGAGGTACATTACGTGATCCCACAGTCTCAGAGAATAGACAGGGAAAGGAGCCTCTGCTACCTAGTGAGATGGCTGCAGAGAGGCAGGTTAGGTGAGGAGGCCAGGGATGCAAGGAGAGGGGGTCAGGGAGGGCTTCACAGAGGAGGCAGAACTCAGATTAAGACTTTGAAAGATGACCAGCATTTGCCAGGCAGATAGGGGTGTGGGCAGGAAGCCAGGATATGTGTGTGTGTGTGTGTGTGTGTGTGTGGTTGAGAGAAGACAGGATTCTAGACAGAGATATGGGGTAATGGTGGAAGAGCAGTGTTACGGGTTGAATTGCTTCCCCCAAAGAGAAATGTTGAAGTCCAAACTCCCAGTAGCTCAGAATGTGACCTTATTTGGAAATAGGGTCATTGTAGATGTAATTAGTTAAGATGAGGTCACAAGAGAGTAGGGTGGGCTCTACTCCAGTAAGACTGGTGTAGGTCTTGATAAAATGGGAGAATACCATGTGAAGACACAGACATGCACAGAGGAAAGATGGCCACTTGAGGACAGAAGCAGAGATTGGAATCATGCTACCACAAGCCAAGGAACCCCTGGGACCACCAGAAGCTGGAAGAAACAAAGATGGATCCTCCTCTAGAGGAGTTGGAGGGAGGATGGCCCTGCCAACACCTTGATTTTGGACTTCTGGCCTCCAGAACTAAGAGACAATGAATTTCTGTCATTTTAAGCCACCCAGTGGTAATCTGTTATGGCAGTGCTAGTACAAGCACTTGTACAACTAATACAAGCAGGTGCAAATGCAACACAGAAATGAGAGAGAGAGAGAGAGAAAGAGAGAACAAAAACCCACCATTCCAGGGAGGGGTGCACATCTTTGAGGTGAAAACAAGAGGGCTGAGTGGCCAGAGATGTGGCTGGACAGGGAGGTGGGGCCAATGAGGGCCTTGAAAGCCACATTAAGAAATTTGGATTTTATGCTGAGGGTTGTAGAAAGCCATTGGAACACTTTAAGGAAAAGAGTGACACAATGGGATATAATTGTTGTCAGCATGACCAGTTCAGTTCAACAAATTTTTGTGGGGCACCTGCCACGTGCCTGGCACCGTGCTAGATAATGGGGGTAGAAAAGTCAATGACACAGCCCCTGTCCTATGGAAGCCCATGGTTTCTATTGTGCCTGAGGCCCAGCCGCATTCTGGTCCTTAGGTTCTATGCCACAACCCAGTATTATAAAATAAATTCCACATTTTGTTGAAGCATGCTTGAGAGGGGTTTCTGTCACTCGGGGACCAGGAGGTCATGTGCATGGGGGCTGGTGTTTGGGGCTGGGGTTGTGGTGGTTGGGGCATTACCCAGGCCGAGCATGTGGAGTAACAAGGGCTGGGAGGGGGCTGAGGATGGGCCTGACTGAGGGTGACCAGGTCATAGAAGCCAGAGGAAAAGGGGCCAGAGGAGACTGGAGAGGGCCCGGCTAGAGAGGCAGGAGGAGGGCCAAGGAGCTGAGAGGGGATGGTGATCAAGGGACAAATACCAAAGAGAGGTGGGTAAGGATGGAAAGTGCCCACTACTTATGATCACCCGGAAGTCACAATGACCTTCACACAGGCAGCTGTTATGGGTGAAGCCATGTTCCACAGGCTGGGCGACAGGAAGAAGTGCAGAGGTAAAGCTAAGAAAGCTGGCTGTGAGAGGAAAGCGAGAGAGGGTAAGAGTTATTAGTAGGACCCCCTGTAGGGTTTGCAAGAAGAGATATTTCCATGTGGAGAGGAGGAGCGAAGCGAGGGTGGAGTGGTCAGAAAGGGAAGGAATAATTGATGGAGCGGGTCTCTGAGAAGATGCCCCGCAGCACAGTCCAGGGGAAGGGGGGAGTCAGACCTCAGGCGGAAAAGAGAAGCCACAGCTCTCTGCAGGCTGGGTGGAAGGAAGAGAGGATAAATGCAAATGAACTCAGTTTACGGACAGATTAAAAGAAAAAAAAAACCACCCAGATGGAAGCCATGGACATGACTTCCATTTTCTCCAGACCAGGAAGCCAGGCCATCAGCTGAAAGCAGAGCTGAGGTGACTGGAGAGGGCTTGGAGCACCCGCAGAAGAGAGGGGGAGGGCAGCTGACGAGGGAGTGAAACAGGACCCTGGCAGCATGGAGATGGGACCCGACGTCCGGGGTGCAGCCTCCTATATGTGGGCTTCCCCCCTGTTCCCTGTTGTCCTTGTAACGGATGTGCCTGGCAGATCCCCAGCCGAGAGTCAATCTAAACATCTGTCATCTCAGCTGTCGAGGGCTCCTGGAGCCTCACAATGCCATCTATGTTCTGGTCTTCGGGTTCCTGCATTAAGCCACATTCTTTCATTCCTCTCTGCTTGTATTTTTTTTTCTCTTTTTTCTCTGGAATGTCCTTTTTTTACCCTTTCAGTGTCATTTCACTCATCACTGAACACCCATGTCAGATGCCAACTTTTCCACAAAGGCCGTATCAGTCCTCTTGCCCTGGAGGAGGATAAACTATTATCGTATTTTACAGATGGGAGAAGGGGACATGGAGAAGTTCGGTAATTGGTCCAAGATCCATGGTGCTATTTGGCAGGATTTGATCAGCTCTGTCTGAGGCCAAAGCCCATAATCTGTACCTCTACTCTAAATACCTCCAATTAGACAAAGTAGTTTTAAAATTTTTAAGTGCAATACACATGCAAAACCGTGGTGTGGCTCTACCCAATGAGCACAATCAGGGGATGAGCCTGCGTTTCAGTGAAGCAGAATAATAACAGGAAGGCCCAGATCAGCTTCCCCAGCATTCTCTACAGCTTTCTCCACTCAAATCCTCACAAGGACCCTGGTGTCTGCAGGCTCAGACTTGTCCCAAGAGAAGGGAGGTGGCCTGTCCAAGGTCACACAGTGAGTTTAGTAGGAGCGTCGGTGCTCAAACTCAGGGCTTCTGCCTTAAGTCCTAGCTTCTTTCCACCAAGTAAAACAATGTCCAGGAAGAGAGCAGAACCTTCCTCCGCCTCCTTCCAGTTGGATGAAAATCCCAGCCCAAACCCAAAGTTCAGAGGCAAAAGCTGGCAACTGTGCAGCCCTCTCCACTTTCATCTGGGGGAGGTGCAAATTAGGGGGATGTGGTTTCACTTGTTGTCCCCTTTCCTGATCCTGATCAGCAGGAATCAGCCCAGCGCTTGTGGCTCCTGCGTCCCTAATCAATGGTGACTGACTCAGTTCCAGTCCCACAGGAAAGAGACAAGCAAGAGACACTCTAGGGATGCGAAAGGCGCTGAGCCTCCCAAGACCCTGCCCTGTCCTTTCACTTCTCACACTCCAGGAAGAAGAGAAGAGAACACCCAAGGTGTGTGTTCCCTCCGCACTCACCTGTTCAAGAAGGCATTGCCAAAGGCATTCAGTTTCCTGAATGGCTTCTTAGGATCCACCACCAGGGCGTTCCCGGGGATGATCCCCTCCACCTCTCCGTGCATCACCGCAATGAAGGAGTCAGTGGTTGGCTCGGGCCCAATCCTCATACCCGGGAAATCCTGTTCCAGCAGGTACCTGCCAGAAGGGAGCACAGTCATAATGCAGGGATTCTGCTCACAGATCCACACTGCATATCTACCACAAGGCAGACAATGATGTGAGTCATGGCAGAGGGGCAGGTCCAGAGCAATGAGATTTCTTGGCAGGGAGAGTTGACCGCCGGGTGGGCTAGCCACAGACCTTTGTGGGTGAGGTAGGACTACAGATAAACTTAAAATTCAAGTCTGTTCTTCTTGGTCTTTATCTTTTTCCCTTCTTGAATCAGTTGGGAAAAAAGGCAAGATTTGGGTTCAGAAATAAACATGGGTTGAAACTGATTCCCACACAGAGTATTGCAGACTTCACGACTGAAAGTGGCCTGCTAAAGTACCCGCACAAAAGCATGGTTAGAATCAGACCATCCACGGACTCTGCTGGCTTTCCATAGGCCATTATTTATTTACTTGGTTAGTCAGTCATTTAACATAAAAATAGCCAGTACATGATACAAACAGTGTGAAGGGAACACTATGAAAAGGGGATCTCCATCTCATCCTAGAACTTTGGTCCCACTCTCTAGCATCTGTACTAGGCTGTGGTCTGAGGTGGCAGGGCCTCTTTGCTCTTCTCCCAGCAGGCCAGTGAGAGCCCAAGGTCACTGCCTCTCTCCACAGCTTCCTTTAGAAGCCAAGAGCAAAGGCACATGGTGAGCCAGAGAATGAAGAGAACCATCTCTGAGGACAACCAAGTCGTTTAGAAGGAGCTCAGAACAGGTTTGAGGCCAAAGAGCATGAGGCCAGACTGAAGGGAAGAGCCCAGAACTGCCTTGGGTTGGGACTGACCAGGGGAGAGTCCCAAGGGCACCTTCCAAGACCATGACGGACAAGGAGATAAGGGATGTGTTGCCCAACAAACACAACCCAGAGGGTGAGCCCTCACCAAGTGCTACGAACTGCCTCCCAAACCTTGAGGGCCCGTATTCATGCTCAGAGGGAAGACACAAAGAGTCTTCAGGAGAAGAGATGTCAAGTCAGAGACGGTTAAGTTGGGAAGGGAACCTGGAGACCTCCTAGACCAGTGGTCCTCAGCCCTGGCTGCAATTCAAGCCACTGTGGGGCTCTAGCTAATGCTGCCTGGGCCCCACCCGCAGAGGTTCTGACCCATGTGCTCAGGGGTGGGGCCCTGGCCACTGGTCCTTCTGAGGAGCTCCCCAGGTGATTTTAACATACAGCCAGGGTTGACAACCCTGCTGCAGACCAACGCTCTCATTTTACTGATAATACCACTGACATTCAATAGCTTTTCCACACGCCAGACATTGTACTAATCACGTTGAGAACATTGTCTCCTTGGGGCCTCCCAGCAGCCCTATGATAGGTGCTGAGGAAACCAAGGCTTAGAGGATTACAATGGCTTGTGGCTTGTCCCAAGTTAAACAGCTAGTACAGAACCCAAACCCATGTCAAACACCAAATCCTTCTCTCCTCAACTGTCATCTACCCTGGGGCCAGAGAGAGCTGATCAAGACCCTGAGGAAGGTCAGGGCAGAGCTTGGACCAAAGGCCACATCCCCAGGGCCTGAGCTTTCTGCCCACCCTGCGCCCCACCCCAAGCGGGCCTGGAGCAGCGGTCCTGCTCTGCCCAACATGGTGGTGGCCAGGGAGACTCACTGGGGTTTCTTCCGGCTCACTGACATCTTGCTTTTGCCTTCAGGAAGCACTGAGTGTTATTTTACTCTGTGGGTCCAGGAGGGTGTAAGTCACATTGCTACGGACTCCCTCCCCAAAGAGCCGGCAGAGGAGCCGCCGCTGGGAGCACTACTGCGCAGGAGGCCCCTGCCACACACCGGAGGGTTTGAGGGTGCCCTGGGAAGCCCCTCGTCTCCCTCCAGGATCTCAGCCTAACAATCCGGATGTGAAGGCAGGGTTTCCTCCCATCAGAGGACCATTTTGAAAGCTAGCCCTTGGGCCGTGATGAGAATAAATCACGAGGGCTGCACACTGGAGAGCACTTCCTGCTTTCTCAGCACTTCCGGGAGAGGCAGGGGTCTCAGGGCCTGGGGCTAGCAGACCCGTTTCTCTAATCATGAGGGATGTGCCCGACAGAAGGTACCTGACCTCAGCAGACCTCAGTACCTCTCTCGACAATGTGGGAGATAAGCGCTCCGATTTATTAAGCACCTGCCATGTGCCAGGCACTGTTCTAGACTCTCCGTGGCTTATCGCATTTCATCATCACACCTACTCTGATGTGAGTCCTATCATCCTTACCACCAAATCGGCCTACTATCACACCTGCCAGGGTATGCTGAGAGTTAAATTAGTTACAGACTGTAAGCACTTAAACCTGTACCTGGCACCTGGATTACCATCCCATTTTAAAGAGGAGGAGACAAAGGTAAACAATGTATCCTGGGTTACACAATCAGTAAACGGCAGAGCTTGGATTTGAACCCGGCACTTGGATTTGAGAATTCAGGCTCCAAACCACTGTAGTCACTGCCTCCTTTCCTGCCTTAGATCTCCCCTTGGCCAGGAAATGCACAAAGGCTGAGCCCCACATGGGACTAGAACAAGAAGTGGGACAAGAAGGCCACAAACGAATATGGTTTGGCAGGAGGCTGGTCAGGGGCCAGGTCTTGGGAAAAGGTTGGGCTCTGGGGCCCACAAACCCAGGAATGTACTCATCTCCATAAACTTCCTCTCTTGGGGTTCGCAGCTCGACCTCAATGAGTGGCATGTGGCATGCAAGAGCTGTTGCTATCAGGTGACCAGGGCAGGCCCCAGGCCTACTGGCTCTAAATGGACATTCTCGAGACTTAAAAATAGAAGGGTCAGATTCCTCTGGGAAGCAACATTTTATGAGAATCAACACTGTGCCAGGAAAACCACATCCATTCTTGCTTGTGTGCGGGAGCACCTGCCCCAATGCCCATTTGCTTGAGAGGCCCTAAGAGGGCCCCACAGGGGGTGTAGGAAGTGTGAATTCTGAGGCAGGAGGAGGGTGATAGATATCATCAAAGGCTTGAGGGACAGCTGACATAGAGAGGAGTGGAAAGAAACCATTCTGAGGCAGCCTCAAGAATGCTCAGCCTGAATAGGCCAAATGGCAGTGATGAAGTATCTTCCTGACACAGGCATCTCAGATTCCAGCCCCGAGATGCGGTGTACCAGCAGATGAACAAAGGGTGCCACTTCCCAGCATAACAGGGGCCACTTCCTGGGATGTTCTGGAGCCACAGTCTGAAGCGGCCAAGCAAGGGCCTGGAGGCTGGGCTGCTGTCCTGCCCTCTTGGCTAAAGCCACGTGACCCAAAACTTGCTGACCACACACGGGTCTACAGAAACACAGAGTCTAGCGAAGCCACTAGCAAGTCTGGAGACACAGTCAGACCAAGTAGAGAATGAGGCTGGGTAAATTCTCAGAGACAGTTGGGTATGGCTTGCAGCACGGAGTGCCCCTTCACAAAGCCACCACTGTGTCCAGAAAGGACAACCTTTTTGAGGGATCTCATCGCGGCGTCTCTGTGGGAAGTGATACAGATTGCCTCTGTTGCCTGGCAAAAACGTTTCCACAGCAGCACAAACAGAAAAGTTCATTCAAGCCTGGGTGAGACTGGCTGAGATGGGGACACGTGAGAATAAGAAGGGCTGAGCACCCGTTGGGTGGCAGGTGCTATTCTGGGAACTTTACCCAAAATATTCCACTGAATTGGCCCTACAAGCGCTGTGGGATGGCAGCATTATTTCTACTTTGCAGTGGAGTAAATTGAGATATAGGTTGCCCAAGTTCAGGGCCAAAGGAAAATATCTAGAGGCCGTAAGAGCTGAAAAGATGTTGGTGCCCACCCCCTCCCTTGCCATCCAATGCAAAATCAACAAATGCTAAACCATAAAATAGGTATAAAGAAGGCCAACGCAATTCTGATTTTTCCCACGAGAACTACTTTTTGTATATCTTTCTTAAGTAAATTGTTTCATAACATTTTCCTCATTTTTTTGTGTCCTGCTTGCCTGGCAATCTAAGCATGTGGCCAGCTTTACTGGTGACCTAAGCACTCAGGGTAAGGCATGGAGCCAAGAATCTTAACTCAGTCTGCCTCCAACATACTCTTTTCTGCAACAGCGGGCCCAGACCTCAGGCTGCTGCTGGAACAGCATCCACGACAGGGAAGAGAGGGGCCGAGCTCCAAAACAGTGCTGCCAGAGGCTTCGGGTGGGGCCCTCTGCCTTGGCTCAGTCGGGGAATGCATCTTCCTGAGTAGCTGCTCCATCACAGCTGGGATGTTGGATATGTCACCCAACAGTCCACTTCCTCCATTTCCCTGGTTTATAAAATGGGGATAATGCTTAGTTTTTAACTAGTGCAGAGGGATAGAATGAAGGTTTTGAAATGATATATATGAGTTTGGGAAGAGCAAAGGCTACACCAGACATGTGCTCATATTGGCAGAAACAATAATTAGAGAAAATGAACACCTCCTTGTTGCCTGTAAGTACTCAGCACACTTCTCCGTCATCTCCGAATCCAGTCCCAATGCCTCCTCCCTGAAGCCGTAACTGATTCATTCCCAACTCACCCCAAACCTGACACGCTTACTGTCTTCCCTGAAATTGCAGAGTTCTTAGTCTGCACATCCTTAGGTAGACTCTAAAGCACACAGCCCTTTCTGCCTTGTATCATAGGTCTTCACGTTATGTATCTGAATCTTTGGTCTCTCTGAGCCTTGGGCACTTCAGTTTTAAAACAGATCCAAACAATAATACTTGCCCTGTCAGCCCCATGGGGTTTTAGGGAGCCCATGAAGTGCCCCACAGACACAGGTGAGGCAGTAGATGCTCTGAGTCAGCTCCATGCTCCCTGGAGCAGCCACCACTGTCCCTGCTGCACGGTAGCCTCCATCACAGGGTGAAGTGACCCCAGCACAAAGGAGACCAGTGGCCAGAATGTCAGACCCCAAGCTAGCCTCCCCTTGCCTGACCCCACCCTGTGCCAGGCTGGCCTGCCCAGTCCATTGCCCAGCAGTGCCCACAGAGTTCCGCTTCATGCTCCTCCTCCAGCCCTCAGAGGTTCAGAGGCAAGATCTCCCTCTCTGCACACAACTCCCCTCCGCCTGCATCCTGACACCCCTCCCCCAACTGTGGGCAGTGCTGGGCAAGGGCTTCCCCCACCCTTCTGAGGCCAGCCTCTAAGCTTCATGTTAGGGAACCCACTAGAAACAGGAGAGGGACTGCTAAAGCCCCAGGTGCGGAGGCGGGAACATACCTGGAGCTGTACTGGTTCTTTCCCCTCCTAATCCTGAGAGTAACCCTCTGAGGAAGTTGTTGCTATTCACACCTTAGAGATGAGGAAGCTGAGGTTCAGAGAGGTCAGACCTTCCTAACAAGGTCTCTTGGCTGGTACCTGGTGGAGCCTGGATTCTGCTGAGCTGGCCATGTTTTATCCACGGCCTTGTCCCACTGTCAATGGAAACAGGATGGAGCCCTTTCTCCAGAGGTCCTTCCTCTCGCAGCAAATGCTTCTCCTCATGACCTCTAGACACCTGACTTTCAAGGCAGACCTTAAGCAGGCCCTGAGGCAGGCGGACCCTGTTCCTCTGGCCTAGGGCCATCTGCTCCCTTGAGTAACACTCAGGCCTGGTAAGAGGAAGGCAGATTCTCACCCAGCCCCACTTAGGGACCAGCAGATCAGAGCCCTGACAGGAAAAGGGTGAGAGCTGAGCTCAGAGGGGAGACAGGAACGAGTGTTGCAGGGATTGCAGCTGGTAGGATAGACTCTGCAGAGGCCAGTGGGTCTACCTGGAATGGCGGCCCCTTTCTCTAGCCCTTCAGCTTTCCAGAGATCATCCCTCCCGGGTCAGTGATGCTGTAATGCCTGGGGTGAGGCCAGGGCAGTGGGGGTGGCAGGGTGGTGATGAGAGATGGTGCAACCACAGGCAATGCTGAGTCACGTTTTGGGGAAGATGCAAACAGCCCCCTGAAGAAGCGGGGGAGGTCAGGTTGTAAGGGCCAGCTGAGTAGCCCCCTCCCACTGCAGCAGCCCCGTCATGTGCTCACATTTTAGGGTACGAGTTATGCTATAGAAGGGCCGCATGACCCTCCAGACCAGACCAGACCTCCCTGTGGAGAGCCAGGCAGCTTAGCTGTGGCAGCCCCTAGGCCCCAAACTCAATCCCCCTGGTCTCCTGCTCCAGCTCTATCAGTGAGGCCTCCCTTACAGGCTGAGAGATCACTGGGCCTTCCTCTGCCCCTCAGCAGCCAGCTATTCACCTCTGTGACCAGGGAGCCAAATGCTGCAAGGGAGGAGAGATCCGAGGCTGCACGCCAGCCAAGGAAGAGAGAGGGGAGACAAACAGCAGAGGCAGGAGGAAAAGCTGCCAGGGCCAGAGGGACACAGAGCTACTGTACTCCAAAGAGGCAGCCTGTGTTGGAGGGAGCAGCCACTAGGCCAATTGATTATTTATGTTATTATTCTGGGTGCCGGGCCTTAGGCCAGGGAAGTTATTTCAGGCAGAGATCAGAGCACATTAATTAGTCATTAGAAGAATGTCCTTTTCTGTGTGTTCTTCCTGAGACAAGAAATAGACACTGTTGCAAGTGCATAGGAGTGAAAGTGGATGGGCACTCAGGAGGCAAAAGGCCAAGGGGCCGGGGATGAAAAGACAAGTTTTTGTCCTCGAGGGAGAAGTCCCTCCCTGGTTGGGGCCAGGGATGGAGACAAGAAGTACTGCATTCAAGGCAAGGAGCAGGGATGGGAGGGGGTGGAGAGGCCAAGACAGGCGGAGAGCTAGGCCCCGGGCACTCAGTACCCCAGAGGAGCCCTCTCTGCTTTGGGGCGGGGCATTGTACCCACTTACCCTCTTGGAAAGCAACACAGAAATATGCCTCTTCTTGCCAAAAGTAAAAAGAAATAAAAAAACCTCTGCACAACCTTTGGCCTAGTGTTTTCACTTCTGAGACTCTCTGAGAAAACAGTCCAAGATGTGGAGAAATAAGTGCAGAGATGTTCAGAGTGATTCTATCATAGCAAAAAGATGAGAAGCAACCTAAAACATTCAAGAGAAGCAGCCTGGTTAAATGAATAATTGCATATATATACAGCGAAATATCATGCAGCTCTTAAAAATCACGCTTACAAAGATTTTTTAATTCACATGGGAAATGCTCGTGCTACAAGTGAAATAAATCGGCATACCAAATTACCCTATGGCATGATCTCAAACGTGTTATAAAATAGCTAAAAACACTGGAAAGACAAATATACATATGATATTTAAAATGGCTTCCCCTGAGTTGTGAGATTATGGGTGATCTTTTTCTTCTTCCTCAAATTTATTCTTGTCTGCATTTTCCAATTTAAAAAAAATAACCATTCAGTGGATTTGATGAGAAGGAGGGAAACTATGTAATTTGGTTTCGGAGGGCTTCCCTGCGCAACATCCCCTCCCACCCCGCTGGTGGGCCCTCCCTCAGAGGATACAGCGTTTGATGCCTGTGCTAAATTCAGTTCCTGACCCGAGTGAGGAGGGAGAACTCTTGTACTTGGAGGATAAGAAAGAGGAGGGATCTGCCTCTCCTGGCCTTCTTGTTTCTCTCTGATAAGGAATAATCTATGGCAGCTCGACTGTGCCACTTTCTTAGACCCAGTAAACAGCCAGCATGACTCAGGCAAAGCCAGGAGATTGTCTCAGACAAGAGGCACTTAAACCTGTCTGCTGCTCGAGGATCCTGCCCCCAGGGACACTTGACTTCCTCCATCTTCCCTCTTATTCCGCAAACGTCTACTAGGAGCCTCCTGTAGCTGAGACCCCAGGCGAAGCCCAAGGGAGCTAAGGCACACTCGTAAGTGCTGGCACCACAGGAAGGAGGGGCTCTAAATAACGCACTAAGAGCTATAACCAAGGTGTGTCCAGAGGCCAGGGAAGGCCACGCCAGGGCAGAAGCCATCTGCGGACGGCCTGCGCCTCCCGTGGGGCATAAACCAGGCCAGGTGGAGGACACGGATTACAAAGGAAATCTATTACAGAACTCAGGCATCTCTGAAGTGCTTTGGCAGTAAATTGTGTTTAATGAAACAAGAGAGATGGATTAGATCAGGGATTCTCACCCTAAGGGCCAAGGTGGCCCTCAGACCCCCGAGATTACACATAAATTTGGAATCCACGTACATTTTTCTAAAGACAGGTCCACAGCTTTCATCAGATTTTCAAAGGAGATACTGACCTTTGGAAAAGTTAAGCAGCAAAGGATTAGATTCATGGCTAAGGGCCCTTGTGGTTCTAACAATACAAGATGTCCAAAAGCAGATGGCCCAGCCCCCCAGCCTCTCAAAGCTGCTGAGCCCAAGGCTGCCCACCCTAGGAGGGCAAATCGATCCGGTGTTCTGTTCAGACATGACACATTAGTGTGGTGCATGCTCTGCTGCCATAGGCTTGTGTTATAAGCTCAGCCTTAGAGAAAATGAGTATCTCGAAAATCAGTAACCAAACTTAACTTTTCTGTTCTCCTTGGCAAACAAAGTGCGGTGCTTTGCATGTTGCAGGTGCTCAGTCAACGAATGGAAACAAGAGTGCCCCTGTTTTGAAACCGTCTGCAGGAGATGAGCACCATTGACCCTGGGGGCCACTGAACCCAGCGCCACGCCGTAGGAGGCTGACTCTCCACACAGAGGGCCACAGGCACCCTCAACAGCGTGGCAATGGCTGTAAATGAGGCCAAGGAACACAGCCTGGCCTTGAAGGTTGTATAGACTGAAAGAAGCCTGTCCCCAAGAGATCGGAAGGCTTCTCGTCACTCTGGTGGACAATATTCAAACCTCTCCGAAGGCAGCGTGGACAAGCTGACTTCTTCAGACCCCTCCAGCCCAAAGATTCTGTAATCCAAGGGAATGGATGACTCACTCTCAAAGTTCAGGCATTTAACCAAGCATCTCCTCCCATGCATCTAGCACCTGCATCCCAGGCTGGCCTCCTACCCAGTTATACGCCTCTGGGCAATTCATTAACCTCTCTGTGCCTCAGATAGCTCACCTGCCAAGTCAAGGCACTGTATGAGACAACCTCCAATGTCCCTTCCATCTCTAAAAGACTTTAATGTTATTACTAACCCATTAAGATCAAACAAGGGAAAGGAAAAAGGCATTCTGCTTCTGTCCAGTCTCCCAGAGATATATGCAGGAACTCTGCTCAGAGCAGGAAACTGATAAAAGAAGGACAAGCCGCACTAACAGGCAGGGGGGTAGAGGGGCCCCAGCCCACCTCCTCAGCTGCAACTGTAAAGCCCCCAAGTGGGTGACTGAGCCCTTTAAAAGGCCAGGGAAGTGGCCCTGGCCATGAAGGGCATATCCCTAAAACGTGAGAGCTTAAGACATTCCCACCAGCATAAAGGTACTCTTGCCACCAGGAGCTTTCTTACTTGTGCCTCCTGGGCCTCAGTTTCATCATCCATTAAATGGGGAGAATAGGGATGAACTTCAACACTTCAAACTGACCACCTGAGTCAAGGGTAAGTACAGTGGAGAGGCACTAGCTAGGATGGGGCGGGGGACCAGCAATGAAATTATGGGGTAAGCTTTGGACACATGCATACAAGGATTTCTTCAGAGTCCTTCCCTGACGACTTCCCGTTTGTCCCCAGGCAGGATGGAACAGGGGAGTGAGGGGAGAGCCTGAGTGCTGGGCAGAGGGGTGGGCTGCCAGGCCCTGGGTAGGCTCACCTGATGAAGGTGGTCTTCCCAGTGGAGTATTGGCCCACCAGCAGGACCATGGGCTTGTTGTCGAAATCGGCATCCTCCAGGGCAGGCGAGTGAAACTCGTGGAAGCGGTAATGCTCTTCCAGGGGTAGCAGCTTGCTCTTATAGAGTTTCTTGAGCCCCTCGCTCACTGTCTGGAAGACCTCGGGGTCCTTCCTCCGGCGGTCGTCGGAACCCAGCCAGCTGAACATCGCGGCCGCCGCTCGCCCCCCGCGCGCAGCCCCAGCAGCAGGGAGCGGAGCCCCGCGTCCGGGCGCCCTAGGCTCCTCGGGGGAAGGTGCCCCGCAGGGCCGACCCGCCGGGCTCCGAGCCGCGCCGCCGCCTCACCCGAGCGCGGGGCTCAGCCGCACCATGGCCCGGGCACGCGGCTCCGGGGTCCCTGGGGCGACGGCGCGGGGCCAGGAATGCGCTCTTCTGCGTCTGGGACGAAGCCCAGCCCGGGCTTCATGCAGCAACCAAGGCCGGAGGGAGGAAAAATGTCTGGGCTGGGCAGAAGGATCGCGATCTTGGAAATTAAAGTCAAACCTGCAATTAAACTGCCAGATGCCGGGGTCCGATGCCGGCGTCCCCAAGCTCCCCGAGCCCTGTCCTGCTTGGCCCTGGGCGCAGTTAACAGATGCTTCGGCTCCTCTCCTGCCTCGCCTGGCGCCTCAGAGGAGGCGGCGGCGCTGCCCAGCCCGTGGACAGCTCAGCATCCGCAGCCGCAGCCCGCAGCCCGCAGCCCTAGGCGCGGGTTTAAATGCCAGCCGTGCAGGAAGCCGGTTCGCGGAGGAAGTCCCCGAGTACTGGCAGAGCCGGCCTGGCGCCACGGCCCCGGCGAGGAGAAGCTGAGCAGGGAGCAGCCATGTTTGTGGGCAGGCGCCCCGCTGGGGACCCGGGGCCGCTGCCTGGAAGGGAGGGATGGTGAGTCCTGTGGGAATGCTCTGGTATTTCAGTCCCGGCCTCTGGAGGTTTGGCTTGGGAACAGCGCCCTCTCAGGGACAGCGCGAAGACAGAGTTGACCTGCCATCACCCTCCCTGCCTTCAAATAGCCTTTCCTTTAGTTGCTAAATTCAATTCCTTAAGAAGACAGGTACTCTAGGATTTGGGAATGTTTTTCTTGGCGCATGGAAAGAAGAGTCCAATATCAGGTTACACAAAATGACCAAAACTGTCACTCCGCAGACTTTTCGCTAGGACTAGGGTGGAATCAAAACCATTACCATTCATTCATTCATTTGTTCATGCCTTCCAATAAAACAAAACAAGCAATACCCCCACAAGCATTGAGCCAGTATTATGGGGCAGACCCAGTTTTGGCGACTGTGGATACAGAGTTGATCACAAAGAGGACCACACACAGACTCTTCCTTCCAGAAGCTCCAGTCCAGGCAGTCTTTAAAGAGGAGATTGGGTAGAGGGCCATGGGCGCACAGGGGGAGGAGGCATGGCTTTTGTCTGGATAGTTTGGGGAAGGCTTCACAGAAAGCAAGCTGTGAGCTGGATCTTAAATGATGAATGCACAGAGAAGGGAAGACATTCCAGGCGGAGTAAAGGGCATTTGCAAAGCAATGGGAACATGGAAGACCTTAGTGTGGGAAAGCCAGCGTCAACAGTTTCCTCTAGGTCGAGTACAGGTTTAGGAGGTGGGAAGGGAGAGACTGAAGCCAGGTGTGAAAGGTTTTGCTTGCCAAAATAGGGATCATATAGAGGATAAGGAACCAATAATATTGTTCTTATTAATAATAGTTGACGTTAACTAAGTGCTCACCATGTGCAGGGGCGTGGGCTGCGCTCTCAGTGAACATTGTATCGTTTGACCTTCACAGCAGCTCTGTGAGGCAGATCATATTCTCTCCAGCGTCATGCCAAGGAGAAAGGGGGTGGCAACAGTTGGCCACATGCAGACAAAAAGGGTGCATTGTCTGTAGGGAGTTTAAACATGATAATAAAACCAACTCAAAGTCAATCTGCTTTATATTAGCACCATTTTACACAGTGTCCGGGACAAACTACTGCTGCCTGCCCAGGCAGATGGCTCCTACACTCCTTTCCACAAGGGAGGACACAGAGTAGGCCAATGGGCCAGGCGGGACTTCGAATGTGGGTGGCAGTGTGGGGAGGGACTGGAGGAGCAGAACAGGCTGGAGTCCAAGAGACCTGTTAGGAAGCTATTCAAAAATCTAGGAGACAGAGGTAATAGGGATGGAAAAGAGGTCATCTTCAAGAGATTTTTTATGGCATAGAATTGATTGATCTTGATAGGCAATAAAAGACAGAAGATGAAGGTAAGGTGGAGTCTAAGATGATTCTGAATTTTCTGTTATCAGGGACAACACAGTTGGAAACTCTGTTCCCCCAATTAGGGGAGTCAGGAAGAGAGCAAAGTTAGCATTTAAAGATGATGTGTTCAGTCCAAAACATGCAGCGTTTGAAGTGCCTCCCAACTTGGAGTGGGCGCTCCGAGTGGAGGAGTATGATGAAGCTGAGGAATTTGGGTGGGGATTATCAGAGTGGGTGCTGGCTAGAATCTCCTTAATTACAGCTCAGATGCCCTGACTCGCTCCTTGAACTCCAGAGCTGCCATCTTTTCCTGAGCTCTCTGTACCCCAGTTGAGAAACCGTTCAGATTAATATTTCACCCTCGGTGTTTATGTTAGCACCAGCACATGAGCCTAAGAAGCAACACTCAAAATATTTAACGATTCCCATGGCATGGGAATGGAGCAATCAGAACAGACACCTGCCTTCTCAGTAGGGCAGGGCCTGAGGCCCTGTGCTGTGCCACGTGCAGAGATATAAAAGAGTGAAAAGATATCACAATACATAAAACTGACAAAGGAGCATCCAAAATATATAATTAATGCCTGTAAATTAATAAGAAAAAAACAAATATTCCAACAGAACAAAAATTGGCAAAAGCCACAAATTCCTTTTGTACAAGAGGCTACGTGAATGCCCTGTAAACCTGAGAAAAGAGGTTGAACCTCACTAGTAGTGTCTAGAGCTTGGGGAGGTTTGAGTTTGCCCAGGGGAGAGGCCAGAGTGGCCAGGTGCTGGGGGAAATCAGGGGGCTCTGTTGTGGACATATTTCAATATTTTAGTCACCAGCGCAGCCATGGTATTGTGTACCTCTGAATGTCAGCCCTGAACATTTCATTTACTTGGCATCTGTTGACACCTCCACTGTAGGTCTTGATCCTGAAGGGTTGGAAATCTACCTTCTTTAAAAAGGAGCTGAGTAATAATGCAGCATTTCTATACCCTAGCAATAAAGAGTTATAAAAGAGAATTTTTAGAAAGGTACCATTTGCAAAAACCAAAAAACCTACGGATAGATCTAACAAAAGATGTGCAAGACCTTTATCTAGAAAATATAAAACTTAATGGAAAGACATTAAAGAAGTTCTAAATAAATGGGAGAGACATATCGTCTTCAGTCGTGGAAAGATTCCATGTCATAAAGAAGTGAATTCCTCACAACATAATTGCTACATGCAATAATTGATAGAACTCAAAATCTGAACAGGGTTTTCCACAGAATTCACGAGGTGATTCTAAAATGGGTATAGACAATGGTCTGAAAATAGCAAAGATATTCCAGAAGAAGAAAGAAGAGGAGAGGGAGGAACAGGAGGAGAAGGAAGAGGAGGAGGGGGCAGGAGGAGAAAAGAAGACAATAACAACAACAATGGAACAACTAGGTGGACACCATTATCAAGTTGCAGAGGTTAAGATGGTGTGGTTTGGGCACAGAGATAGACCAGTAGAACAATGAGCAGCAAACAGCCAGCAAATACGGAAACCTGATGTACACAGTGGTTGCAATAGAGATCACATACGTATTAGCACAAGGTCAGGAAAAATTCCTCCAATGAGACACCAAACTGCAAATGAAAAGATAAATAAATTTGGCAAGAACTTTTGTCCAACTAAAGATACAAAAGACAGTGAAAAGATATTTACACATAAAACCAACAAAAGAGCATCCAAAATAGATAATTAATGCCTGAACATCTATAATAAAAAGACAAACTTTCTGATAGGAAAAAAATGGCAAAAGACACAAAAACTCCTTTTACAAAAGACGCTACATGAATGTCCTATAAACAGAAGAAAAGAGGTTGAACCTCTTTCATAATGAGAGAAACACCAAACCACAAGGTAACACTTCACACCCACCAAAATGGCCAGGAATAAAAAGAGTGGATGCTACCAAGTGGTAGCGAGAATGAGGAGCAATGGGATCTTTCACACACTGCTGGAGGGGATGTTGATCAGCACAAACACTTTGAGAAACAATTTGGCATTACCCAGTGAAGCTGAAGATGTGCATGTCGTCCCCCCCGCCCCCCCCCCCGTGTTTCCACTCCGAGTATTATCTAGAGAAACTCTTGCACCCATGCATGGGGAGATTCATATAAGAATGTTGATGGCAGCATTGTTTGCAGCAGCAATATATTATAAACAACTAAATTTCCTTCACCAAGAAAATGGGTAAACAATTGTGCCATGTTCATATAATAAAATAAATTTCATATAGTGAAATAAATACTATACAGATGAGAAAATGGGGGAACTGGAGCTCCTGGTCCCCAAACAGAGTGCTGAGTAAATAAAGCCAGAGGTCAGCTATTATGCTTAGTGTAACACCACTTTTCTAAAGTTTTAAATCAGGCAAAAACCACTCTCTGTTGCTCGTGGGTGCATATATGTGTAGAAGGTTTTAAAGAGAGAAGTGGGGAATGTAAAACAATCAGGAAGGTGGTATCTTCTGGGGACTAAGAAGGGAGACAGAACTGGGGATGGGCCCACGGCGGGTTCCAACTGTATTTGCAGTTATATTTCTTAAATTTGAAAATAAGTACTTGGCTGTTCATTTATTATTCCCCCTATCCTTTATAAAAAAATATCTGGTCCTTGGATGCACAAAATTAGACTTTTTCATAATTGTGGTTCAAAACAAACTCTTTATACCTGGCTTTATCATTCTATTTTTTCTTCCTTTTATTTAACACACTTTTAAATAATATAATGAACCCGTGGTAAACGCATCAATCAATCCAAGGACTAGAAAATTCACAATAATTTACATCTACCCTGTGTTCTTTCCCTATCCTGTCTCCTGCCTCCTTCCCACCCCAGAGGGAACCGCTACCTGGAATTTAGTGTGGTTTTCTTCCCCTGCTTTTTAAATTATTGTTATCACATATATATGTAAGCCTAAACAACCTACTGTTGAGGTTTAGTGCTTTGAAGCTTTTTAAAAAGCATATCCCACTGCATGTAGTCCCCTGGACTTAATTTTTTCTTACTTGACATGTTGTCAGCAGCGTTTGTCTTCAGCTCCCTCTGGCTCTTCGATGCCTCTCTCCTGCCAGGGGCTTCTTCCAAACCCAGCATGTGGCTTCTGGGTTCTGTCACCCTGGCAGCTCATGGGGGTTCCCAGTAAGACAATAGATAGAGTCCTGGTCCCCCAGCATCCTAGCTGTGTGATCTCAGGGAACAGCTTCAGTCTCCAAGCCTCAGCTCCCTGGTCGCTGGAACGGAGGGAGTAACGATATTTTTTCAGGATTAAAGGAGACAATGCATGTAGAGTGCTTAATGAGTGTCTGCTCCATTGAGAGTGCTCAATATGCATCGTTGGCTCTTAATATTATAATCACTATTATTTTTATTCACTGCATGGGCACTGCCCTGTGTTCTGGACCTATTTAATAAGCCAGCACGTAATAAGTCAGTGAGTAACTCCTTTTGGTTCATTTGTATCTTAACTGAGGATGGCTCGTTGACTCAGGAATACAATTGCTAATAGTGGCATTTGTGGCATTTGCTGTAGGCCCTTGGGGTTGATGCTACGAAAGTGGGGCTTTTTCCTTCTCTTCCCTGTTCTCTTCCCTTTTTCATCAAGACCATTAAGGTCCGGACAGAAGTAGAGGAAGAAGATAGAAA